TTCTAGTCTACAGAAGGCGCTGCCCGTGCCGTTCTCAGTTTTGGAGCCATCTGTGAAAAGGTTATTACTGTACCTCTGAATTGGTTGGTCGTTTATACTGATACCGTCAGAGAGATTAAAAGCTGCTGGATGAAAGTTATTGCAGTTGTTTTGCTCCTCGTAGTCCGAGTGGTGATAACTATGACCCCAGAGTGTTGAAGTTTGACCCAGCCTGGTAACCCTTACGATAGCTGCCTCCCTTTCTACTATCAAATCTAGGGGAGGAATTCCTGCTAGTTGTTGTAGGGCTAGTGTTGACGTGGTACGGTAGGCCCTGCATACTTGAAGTAGCTGCTGTCTCTGAATAGAGAGCAGGGATCTTTTCATATGAGAGGTAAGTTACGCCCCCCCCCAGATTGCTGCTCCATAAGTTATTACTCTTTCTGTAATGGTTCTATGCCAAATTTTTAGTAGCTTAGATGAGATACCCCATTTATGTGAAGTCATGCGTCTCATGTTGTTGCTTAGGATGCTAATTCGAGTCTTAAGATTCCTGACATGTGGCATCCAAGAAAGTCTGTTGTCGAGTAATAGCCCAAGATATTTCAATTGGGGGAAACATTTTACCGGTATCCCATGGAGTTTAATGCTTGGGTTGCGTCTTAGCTGCCTGCCTGCTGCGTCCTATGAGCAAAGCTTTAGTTTTCTCTGCCGAAATCTGAAGCTTATGTGCTCTGGCCCATTGGGAGAACAGATCAAGACAGTATTGAGATCTCATTTCGAGGTTACTCCTTCCTGCCACAACTAGCATAAAATCGTCCGCATAGGCTATGATTCGAGCGTATTCTACGCTCTCAAACTGACGAAATGCCGAGTTTGCCACTATATTCCACAGTGTTGGTCCAAGGCATGACCCCTGTGGGCATCCTCTAAAGACATTTTTGACATAAATGCCGCTGTCTGATGTTACTTGTACACTTCGATCTTGAAGGTACGAGCGAAGGATGGTAATAATGGCTGTTGGGCACGCCATGTTGTGCAGCAAATTTTATTACGTCTGGCCACCAAAGGGAGTCAAAGGCTCCCTTGATGTCAATGGCTATTGCCAGTGAGTGCAAATTGTTATCCTTGTTCTGTTTGATAGTGGCCATTAAGTCTTTTATGGCATGTTCAGTTGAGTTGCCCATTCGGAATCCATATTGTTTGGGACGCAGGGCGTTGTTCCTTTGCAGGAAGAAGTCCAATCTGTAAAGAATTACTCTTTCCAATACCTTACCGAGCGCTAATGTAACAAAACTTCTTCAGAATATTAATAATGTATTTTGGACTTAAAACTTATTTGTGTGAAAATGTTTTCGGCATATCAAATATAATAAAATTATAAATTAAAGACACTAGTAAATCACAAAACATCATTTAAAAGCTTTTTGCGGAAAAAAAGCAGCCTCGAATTATTCTAATTTATTTATTTACTGAGTTCTCAGTGAAAATTGAATATGATGTCAAAAATCGCAAATTTTGAAATTAAATAAAGTCAATTTTTCTCTTGACAAAAGTCAAACCTTTTGTACTTTACTTTATGTAAAGAGTACAAAAGTTCTCTAAACATAAGTGTTGGGAGAGAAAGAAAGTGTAAAAGGTTAGTTTCGTAATTTTTAAAAAACTGATTTTTTTAAATTGTAAAATGCCAAAACTTGAATACTGGTGTCATTGAAAACACTCTTATAACTGAAACTATATATGTCTACGATCGAGGGTTCTGTGGGTAAAAGCAAAGTAAAAATTTTTATGGACTCGGCATATAGGTTAAGATAATTAATTAATTATAATAAAAGATTAGGGCGTTCTCTACCTAACAGAAGGGTACATAACAGAGGACTTGGAAAATGCTCTGCTTAATAGTACGCATAGAAAAAACTAGGGTTCATCTTTAGATTATGGTAACTTGACGATTTTTTGGCGAAAATTTGGCGACCACTCTCCTACAGCAACCCTCTATTTTTTTTTTTTTTCCCCGCCATTTTGTCTTCACGAAATAAAGACATGTTTTCTTTTCTTTTTATCTACGAACACTTCTTCCACAATCTACTAGCCAAATTACACTTTGCTGGAACTTTATCTAACAAACTGCTTAATCATGACAAATATTCACTGCAAAATTGGGAAATGTGCACAATACCATACTCCTTACGCGTTTTTTTTTCAAATAACACATACACATAACCATGTACACACGTCGACTTATTTTTACTTAAAAAAAAAATCCAGAATTACACAAAAATGGCATAGCGCGCACTCTTCACTATATCCATGGTACACTGCTTTTTTTCTCATAAATTAGAAAAATTTCACGAAAATGCATGACAATTTTCTGAATCTTTAAACCCGTTTAAAAGAACATATATGAAATTACCTAATAACGAAAAAGTATATACCTTTTTTCCAAATATGAACATTTCCACTATAAAATAATAAATATCCAAAACTTTTACCTCTAAATTATCTATTATATTTATAACGTCACCAACGAATTCATACCGCAACATTACAAATACTTAGTGTCAAATATTTAAATTATTTCCATGCACGTTTACTCAACTAAAACGTATACCAAATTCCTACAAACATGAAATTCACAAAATAACTATAATTTAATTAAAATATAATTAAATTCAAAAACACTACTTCAAATATAAATAAGCACATACATTAAATTAATAAAAATTAGCTTACAATCCTAATTACTTTAAACTAAATCATTGCTAATAACAATTTTCCAATATACCAAATTACTTTACTTCCTTCCACCTTACTTTAGAACAATGCATAAAATAATATCCTCAAATAATTAAAAATACTAACTTACCTAATTTTCTTCAGAATCTTGCTTACATGGTGGATACACTTTTATTATGGATTCAATAAAATTATTGAACGCTTTTTCTGCGAATTTTTCCTCCACACTTCCTCCGCTAAATAAAAAGCAAAATTCTCTTTATCACATCTAGAATTCACTTTAGACAGCGCCATACAATCCCAAAATTATTCAACCCTACTTCACACAACACACAATGAAGCTTAATACAAAATAATATACAGCCACAGATATTTTTCCAAATTCTCCCCTTTTCCGATTAAAGAAACCGTAATTCGTCCATTAATATCACATGACATATCCCATGATCTCTCATTTCCCTCACGCAAAATAATGCGTAATCGGAACTGAGTACTGCTCACATTATTACCAAAGTCCCAGGTAGTAACCTTTATCGCCTCCAAAATGTCGCCAAACTACCAGTTACCATATTCTAAAGATCAGCCAAAAGTAGAAAACAGACGTAGAGAACAAATTCGTCGTCAAGATTTTAACCCAGATGGAACTACCAGTACTCAGCGACGTCACACGCAAGCATAAACTGCAAGTAATAAGACTCTTAAACAGTAATATTTATCTCCAGCCATTTTCAAGAGAATAAAAAAGGGATTTAGCAGTTTTCTCACACATAGCCTGGATACTGGCTCGGTTTTCCTTCAAAATTCCTCAAAGAAAACGTCCCTTCTTTGGGAGATAGACCTAATGTACCAGATGGAATGACATATGTTCATCCTTGCTGGCCACTGATTTTCTACTAGTAGGCAATTTTCAAGTGTGTGTGTGATTATGGCAAAGTCTCGAGGGCTATCTGCATAAGGGGAGGGATGCCTTCCTGGAAGACTTTGTATGGGAAACTGGCTCGTATACGCGTTCACATGGGGAAAACCACGAAAACGCCATGCAGCCAGCCCGTTCGCTGGATTCGAACCTCAGACCGAACTACCAGTGTTCAGCGACTTTACCGCTCGGCTGCTGGTGGGTCTAATTTTCAAGTAATTATTCTCCAATAATACTGCAGTTCTGTTTTGGATATTTAATATAATCCAAACGGCATGCTCATCAAAGTTTCAAAAATGGAAATTCTTCCCTCTATACTGTTATAATATCATCTAAAGTCTCGGCTGTGGTTTATCCTGTTAGTTTGAAAAACTAGTATTTGTTTGGTGCAAGGCGGAGGCGAGGTTTTCTTGAGCACACCAAGTTTTCAGGATTGCTTCAAAATTCATAAATTTGATTGCAATGTCTTTTTTCTACACTATTTTTTTGGTGTTTGCAACGCTTTATTCTTGACTTTATCTATTTTTATAGAACTTAAAAGATACGGACGGCTTTTTTATGATGAAGGCTCCCACTCTCGTGAAATCGGTTTTCGAAGAGCAAACATACAGTCTCGTTAAGTTTAAGAATATTTGGAAAGATGTCTATGAAAGCTTCGACAACGTTTCCGTAAGAACATGTTGGAAAGTAATGCCAGAACAAAGGAATTTGTTATCACTCATGTAACAGAAATCAAAATTCGTAAGTCCGTAAAAATTAAAATTCTTTATCCCTCACTTAAGAAATTTTAAATTCGCAAAGCGCTATCACTCCTCTCCTTCTTGGACTAACGAAACGGTTTTTCAAGCTAACATCATCAACTGTAAATGAAATTTACAAGTTTTAGATTACTTGTAACAATATAGTGATGTGATCCATTGAAAGCATCTGTCATTACTATCCAGTTTGAAATTTCCAGAGTTTTTGGATGTGAGCAACTTTCGGATTACTCTTTATTTGTTGATACATTTACTTCTACGAAATGGTTAATCTCTAGTCTTATTTAATATTCAAACATATACTAAACAAAGTAAAACTTAATGCATTCAATTGAGTAAAGCATACCGTGTAATTCGTTTATTGTAATATTTGAGAATTTTCTCTACCCACTAAATTCACTTATCTGCGTTTCTCAAGCTTTATTCCACGGATCACGAGTATCCTCGAAGTTTGTCCTGGTAGTCTTCTTATATTTCCAAAACAGACAAAAGTACCAAGCTTATTACATATAGTTGAAAATCTCAGAGTATGGAAATAACATATGGAAATAATGTATCACCTTTTTCACCCAAGACCAACTTTTCCTGAATATGATCAGCAATTACCTTACCTTGTAGAGCTTTCTTGATGCTGGAACGTGAAAAATGTGCAATGCCCTCGCTGTGACTCGAACTCTGGACTTCTCGAATACTCGCCGAGAATACTACCGTAACACCACGAAGACATGCTGGAAGGGAGATGAAAATACCTTAAGACCTATGAACATTTCACTCTAGTCTTAGCGACAAAAGAGGAATTTAAAGCACTATGGCAGTGGTGTGCTAATCATCATAAATCGAACCATAAAACCACTTACTCAAGAGCTAGTGTGCATAAGTGAAGTCACTAGTATGTGATTAAAGCATCCCATTATTGTTAGTGCTATCATTTAATTTTCAAGTAAAAAGGGGAAGATGGTCCAAACTCTACTAGTCTTTAATTATCAAAAACAAATATAATTTTTTATTCTATAAATTTAATTACTTAATACCAATACAATATTAAATTAATTTTATTTAATTATATTTTTAAAATATTAATATACTATCAGTAATATATGCTAAACAAATTCTTAACAGCAAGATGATCCGTAGCACATTTAAGTTTATAAAAATGGGCTCCGCTAAACGAGTTTGAGAAATGCTAACTGAACTAAATGATTGATTTGTGGTCTCATTTGTTATTACAATTGAAATGTGTAAGAAAAATTTTATTTTTCCTTTTTAAAATTTAAATGATTTTTGTCAATTTTCATTAATAAAACTAATTGTGAATTTTAACACTTTAAATTTTTAAATTCTCTCTGAATAAAATTTTTCTTCATTCCTTAAATTAGGGCAGGCTACATTTCTGTCAATCAAACCGTTTCTTGCAGAAGTATTGGCAGTATTCCATTGATCTTCTGACCCACCAGCAGCTAAGCGGTAAAATCGCTTAACACTGGTAGTTCGCTCCGAGGTTAGAATCCCGCGAATAGGCTGGCTGCATGGGAGTTTTCGTCTTTTACCCCCGTGTTTAACGTGTATACGAACGTGCTGAACGTGTATATGAAACTGCTGATCACTAGTTGTTCGACCCGGGATCAGATCCCTGTGAACGGGATAACTGTATGGAGTTATCGTGTAACGTAACATAAGAGTTGTATCATAAATTATATGCAACCCGGAAGTATTCCACAAATGCATCGCTTCCATAGGCAGAAAGCTGTGCTTGACTCAAAAATTTAAATAAATAATCAGCTTATTAGCTATTCAGGACTAGCTTTATTGTTTCTGTTAATCAGAATTAAAATCGGTTATTTAATGGAAAGATTAAAATATAGTTTAAATAAAAAGTATTTAAACTATATTTTAATTTATTTATTTTTATAATAATTTAGTTTAAATAAAAATTGTCTAACATGTGTCATTAAAATATGCGAATATTTGTTGTGATAAAACTTAGGAAATGCCTTCGTCAATATATATGAAATTAAAAAAGAACGCGAACATTTTCGAAGAGAGTATTAAAATATAATTCATAGGAATTGAATAATCAAGCACGCATATATTACTAAAATAAACTCCTAGTAATTTACTAAAACAAACTTCAAGGTTCGCAAATTTCTTTCTAAATAGAAAAATAAATTGGATTATATGTCATTTGTACCAAATATTTATCCCTAGAAAACATATTTTAGTAGAAAACTTCATAGAAAAATCCAAGTAATTATTTGCTTTAACAAAGGAGATCCGAAACCTTTTCTCCTAACGGGTTTTCACGCAAAACCGAAGACAGTAATGTCAACGACTCTTCTTGGCATAACGGAAAATAGTTTTCTCGCCAAATTGGCTCTCTTGGCAAGTTTTACTAGGGCAATCTTCTATTGATACTTTGCCAACCATTAGAGAAGAGATCATAATGCGCGTTTGTTCACCTTTTTCGAACTTCTGAAAGAAAGTGTAAAAATCGAAAAATATCAAAACAACGTAGGGTTTACTTGTGTTTAAAAAAACAAGGAAAAAAAAGAGCGTGCACCGATATCGTCAACATGCGGCGAGTGCCACGTGAGTAGAGTTTTAATTTTTTTCCTGTAAAGTTTGTTTCGTTTTTTTCTGCTTCATTCTTTCTTCTTTTCGGATTACGTTTGAAAGAAAACACGCAGAGGATTATGGGTGAATTTTATTTTTGCAGGTGAACTGTTAATTACATTTTTAATACTTAATGCGTCGGCTAATAGAAAATAAATAAAAAGGGGCTTATATTTTTATGATTCAAAAGTATCATTGGTGACATATGAAACTGAAAACTATAGAATAACAACTATTTTTCGGAAGAAATATGCGATGTATTTTATTTTTATAAAACACTTCAATTGTATCATGTTAGGTTTTAAATTCTGCATGTTTTTCAGTAAATATTATTTATTAGTTTATACATAACTATTAAATTATCAAAGAATTGTTATTTTTATGTTTAATGAATTCTTACAGAATTGTTATTTGATTTTCGATTGATTTAATAACTATTTCTGAAAATTAAAAGAAAATTTAAAAGCTCAAAATATGAGTAATAATTATAGGGAAAAAAATAACCAAAATTTTTAAAAACACATTATCGTTTATTTAGTTCTTCATTAAGAATATTTTCAAATTTGATCGCTTACAGAGTTTGTAATTATTACCGTTTTAATCAAAAATACATCAAGAATAATTTAATATGAAATAAATTCGTTAACAATGCAAACTTAGTGTGACAAAATTTGTATTTCTGCAGTAAAGATGCTATAATATAACATCTTGAAAATTTACTATGATTTCTTCCGAATCAGATTTCAATTTAAAATCTTGGTATTCAGATATGACAAAAAATCATCTTTCTGAGTTCAATAAACCTATTTAAAATTTTAAAAATTTGGTGGTTAGTGACTCTGATTGCTGTACCGAAAGACTCGAGTTCGAATCCCGGAGATGGCAGTAAGTAAATTGTCTATCCCTTCATGGGAGGCAACGATAGCACACCTTTTAGATAACCCCCTTATTAAAGTGACTGCCGCTTCCGGAGTCAGTAGTAACCAACGCTTATAATGGCTAGTGCCAGCCAATGGAAATAAAAACAATAATTTGAGATTCCAGGCTATAAATAATTTCATTCAAAAAACTAAAGCAGAGGAAAAAAAAATTACTTTGCATTAAGGAATACGTGAGAAAGCCGAATATTATAATGCACTGCAGCAAGTAACACAGTAATTTTTTATTTATTTTCCTCCCAGATTGGGGCTCATCAGCGGCCGAGCGGTAAAATCGCTGAACACTGGTAGTTCGGTCCGAGGTTCGAATCTCGCGAACGGGCTGGCTGCGTGGGTGTTTTCGTGGTTTTCTCCATGTGTAACATGTATACGAGCCAGTTTCCCTTAGAAAGTCCTCCACGAATGCATCCCTCCCCTTAGGCAGATAGCCCTAGTGTGCTTTGCCATAATTAAATACACACACACCTCCCAGATTGATAAGGAAATGTAGCAACTCTGTGAAAATTTCCGATCTCGTATTTTAAATAGAATTCATATTTCATAAGTCATTCTAAAATGAATAGAATTTTCCTAAACTTTTCATCCCTTTTATGATAATATTGTCGAGTGTGGTTTATGGATCCTTGTACCACTTCCTTTACCTTTCAGAATACAGTAACCACAAAAAAACATCAGAATGTCTAAATAACTGCCGCTTTAATTCCTAGTTATAATCGTAGGTGGCTCGTAAAGTAAATATAGGAATTTTACAATGTGTTTCTGATTTCTTAACGTTGTTAAAAGTGTAATTTATTTCCCGTGTTAAATATTACTTCCGTTCAGCTGATTTAAAAATTTTTTCAGTTACATTACGTAACTTTAGCTGTAAAAAGAATTTTAAAAGCTGGGCTATTTGTTTATTTTATGCAGGTTTTCATAACAGTGTTCAGACAATAATTTGATTTATGATGCTACTCTTATTATTCATGCAATTATCAGAGCTTCTGGATAATTACACTTTTCCATCTTCAGGAATGTGGGACTAATATTACGGAAATATTCTGACGATGTGTCATATCTGATGATATTCTGTAGTTACGATGATGTCACATTTGATGTGCTCAGTTTATATCGAATATTTAGAGAGAATTGCCTTAAGAAAGTTGTTAGTTTCAAGAATACAGCGCTGAAAGGTTCTTGAAAGTAGAGATCTTTATTGATGAAAAGTAGTATATCTTGAGATACACCACATTTCTCACCAACCAGAAGAGATATTATAGGCCGGAACATTTACGTCTTTGGCGCGAAATTATGCAATTTTATGGTATTACTTGTACTAATTATTAGAAAAAAATAATGATCATATGACATAGCAAATCGCATCGTAGCTGTACACTTTTGTTAATTATAAAATTAAACTAAACCATAAAAGAAAATAAAAATCGAACCGCCAATTAAAGGAAGCAGGGTTATGTTTTGCCGGAATGCCAATTTCAGATGGATGTTCTAAGGATAAAAACTGTACCTGTAGTTTGGCTTAAGAAGAAAAAGTTCTGTTTAAGATGGAGTCTTTATATGTTTATGTTTTCAAAAATCTAAATTGAATTTATTAATGTTATGAAAGAAGGATTTTTATTTGGAAGTACCTTTGTTATTTTCTTTACTTCAATAAAATTGCAGGACTAAGAATTTCGTTTTAGTATGGATCACGAAAAGGAAAAAGGATTTTATCTGTGGAAAAATATGAAGTTGCCGCCAAGCCATGCTGTTTAACATCTTTCATTTGTCTTCTGAATTACAAAGTAACAAAATGGGTCATTTGAAATCAGTGGCTCTGTTACACCGAAAATTTATTTCCCCGTATTAAAAGAAAGTTACATTTATGTTATTCGCTTTTGAGAAAAACCTTCTTCAATGAGTTTTTCAATTTGAAAGAAATCCGAAAAGGGATTTTAATTTCCCCTTTTGATAAGGGGAAAAGGCCCTTACAGCGGCCGAGCGGTAAAGTCGCTGAATACAGGTAGTTCAGTCCGCAGTTCGAATCCCTGCGAACAGGCTCGCTGCGTGGGCATTTTTGTGGTTTTCCCATGTGTATTGTGTATACAGGTGACAGGTGACGGAGGACGCCTGGTGTTTAACAGAGGTAAACAGGCATATGTCCCGCGTCCTCCACTACCCAAAGGCAACAACTCCTTGGAGCCG